AGATAGATAGATAGATAGATAGATAGATAGATAGATAGATAGATGATGGATAGATAGATAGACAGACAGACAGACAGATGATAGATAGATAGATAGATAGATAGATAGAGAGAGAGAGAGAGAGAGAGAGAGAGAGAGAGAGAGAGATTAGATAGATAGACAGACAGACAGACAGACAGACAGACAGACAGAAAAATAGATGATGGAAAGATGGATGATGGATGGATTGATAGACAAATAATAATGGATGGATGGATGGACAGTAAGATGATGGAAAGATGGATGATGGATGGATGGATGATAGATGGATGGATAGATGGACAGATGATAATGGATGGATGGACAGAAAGATAGATGATGGAAAGATGGATTGATAGACAATTGACAATGGATGGATGGATGGATGGATGGATGGATGGACAGACAGACAGACCATAATGGACAGATGGATGGGTGGGTGGATAATTAGTGCAAGTCTTGAGCATTAGGCTTAACGGGGCTCCATTCCAATGCTCTTTGGGGATGGTGGAGCTTCAAACACATCTAGACTGAGACAGCTTGTAGAGGGGATGTGAAGCTAGCAAGATACACCTTAATCCTAATTTATAATCCTCATTTCTTTGGACCAAATGAATCACAATCCCAGGTCCCAATAAGCTGTCCTGATTTCTTTGATCTGCTTCCAGGAAAAATGAAAAGTGGGAGCAAACTAGCTAGATGATCAGAGTAAAGCCATGAATCTTGGCTTCCGACAAAAACCATCAAATATCCTTTTGCTAGTAATCCAAGCCCAAAACGTACTTGTGAAGCTGCGAAGTCCAGTTTCTGAAGGCCCACAAGGTAGCGGTTTCTCATCAGGTCCACCTCATGCCTTTTGGCATTGAGCAGGGTTTTGAAAGTCAGAATTAACTCCAAGTAGGATGTGGGCGTGACATAATTGTGCCTTCGAAGAATGTTGTAATAACTGACCGAAAGTTCCCGTACGCTTTCTTGAAAATATTTGCACATGAACACAACCCTACAGGAAAACATTTACAGGTTAGAAATAGTTAATGAGAAATAAATAAATATATCATATATATTTGTATGTATATATATGTATGTATATATATGTATGTATATATATATATATATNTTCAATTTAAAAAAAAGCAATGGGAGATGGACTAGTTCTGACTTCCTGCTGGCTTCCCCATTGCTTCTGGGAATCTGGCAGGGAGCATCAGAGATCTTCCTTCGTTCCTTCTTTCCTTCCCTCCCTCCCTCCCTTTACCTCTCTCAGTCTCCTTCCTCCCTTCCCCATCCTCGTCCTTCCCTTCCTTACCCTTCTCTTCCAGGCAGTCAGGTAAGTGACTGCTGCTGGATGGGAGAGGGAGCAAGGGATTATGAGATTGGCTGGGAAACTGTCACAGAGCTTTGAAAATGAAGTTCACATAACCGCAGCAAAAGCCAGCAGCACTTCCCAAACATCGTCACTCAGAAGCCATGGGTCCCATATTCATGGCACATTCTGTAAGTGAGCCCATTGGAGCTACCTTGGCTCAAATTTTAGTGCCCTATGATGCACTGTTTCACCCAATTATGATAACAAGAGTAGTATGTACATTTTAAACAGGATCAGGGAAATCTGCAGAGGATTTAACACAGGAAGTACAGCTTCCTTTGAAATGATGCTTCAGCAGCCACTGATGTCTTAAAATGAAGGAGATAATAGGAGTTAATGTAACCCAGGAGCAGCTAAAGGAATATATCCTACCACTCAGTAATATTACCCCAAGAACACCAAATTTGTCATTTTGCAAAACTAGCAACATTATCATTATTGTTATTACCAGTTCCAGATGGATCTGGCTTCCTTTCTGGTTTGATGTTTTTCATGACACAAATGCTCTCCATGACGAGTTTGACGGGCCCTGGGGGATTCTGCATGGATTTGACGAGAGAAATATCCGCGGGGTTCAAGGTGTCCAGAGCCGAAAGGGCAGCCTCAAGAGCTGGCATGGCTTCTGCCAGATCCCCCTCACATTCTTCCTGCAATCACAGACAAGAACCACAAGTTCAGGCCACCTTTTTCCATGCCACATTGATCAGTCAACCTTAACAGAAGTACAGAAGAGTTGGAAGGGACCTTGGAGATTTTTTAGAAGATTAGAATAACAGAGTTGGAAGGAATCTTGGAGGTCTTCTAGTCCAACCCCCTGCCTAAGCAGGAAACCTTACACCATTTCAGACAAATGGTTCTCCAACATCTTCTTAAAAACTTCCAGTGTTGGAGCATTTACAACTTCTGGAGGGAACTTCTGTTCCACTGATTAATTGTTCTGATTGTCAGGAAATTCCTCCTTAGTTCTAAGTTTCTTCTCTCCTTGATTCGTTCCCCCCCCCCCCAAATTGCTTCTTGTCCTGCCCTCGGGTGCTTTGGAGAATAGCTTGACTGCCTCTTCTTTGGAGCAGCCCCTCAGATATCGGAACGCTGCTATCATGTCTCCCCTA